GGAAGGCAAGTGGGGCTTACTAGCAGCCCCTGCTCTGATCCCAGAGCTTCTGCTCAGGGAGTATCTTTCTCTAATCCATTGACCCAACAGGATCACCTCTTTCTTTTCTTTTCTTTTTTTTTTTTGGGTCCGGTTGTGGGGCCTGAACTCTGGGCTTGGGTGCTGTCCCTCAGCTCTTCAGCGCAAGACTAGCGCTCTACCACTTGAGCCACAGCGCCACTTCCAGCTTTTTTCTTACATGGTGCTGAGGAATCGAACCCAGGGCCTCAGGCATGCACGGCAAGCGCTCTACCACTGAGCCAACTTCCCAGCCCCACCTCTTTCTAATTCACACCAAAGATCCTATGCACTGGTAGTATCCCTGAGAAGTGCAAAACTAACTTCACAAAGTCAGGAATTTACTCTTGGATTCTAGATTCCTTTCACAGTCAGCCACTTGTATCTGAGCCACACTTCAAATCCCCAAGCAAGGTCCCCTTCTCTGTGATTTGTTTCAGGATACCTTATCCAATTGGGTCCCTGCCCAGCTCCAAGATTAGAGCCCAGTCTGGGCCCAGCAGCTCACCTTGGCTAAGTAAGATGTGTAACCAGACGATCACCAAGAACAGCAGCAAAACCATGGGCAGGCAGAGCCAGAGAACCAGGAATGGAAATGTGAGGTCGTTCACCAGCGGTACCAGTGGGAACTTCATGGTGTATGTGTGGCAGAGCAGGGCCAGTGCTTAGGCATGGGCATGCAAGGTGCCCCTGGGGCCTGGCAGGCTGGGCCAGGCTCTGCTCTTAGTCCAATTGTGACTAAGCAGTGACCGTGACAGTGATGGTGACGTAAGGAGGAGGTATGTCCTCAGGCAGAACTGCAGGGGAAGCTGGGAAGGCTGGCAAGGGTGCTGGCATGGCTGGGAGCAGGCATGGCTGGGAGTTGGGACCGTGAGACCATCTGGCTGAGAATGAAAGCCCTGGTTACTCCAGCCTGGATTTCATTCCCAGCTCAGCCACTTCATGGATACCTCTCTGATCTTCTTTCCTGTAAGACTAGAATAATACTAAAACTTGAAAAATAGATGGGACAGAAATTACTTCAGGAGGGGGGTAGCATTTGTGTGTGTGTGTGTGTGTGTGTGTGTGTATGTGTGTGTGTGGTTAGATAACACCACAGCCAGTCAGGTCCCCAGGCCCTTTCTTCCAACTACACATGTGCACATCCTTCTCAAACTGCTCTAAGAGAGTTAAAAGTCTAGATTTTCTAAGTGAAATCTCCCAAGTTAAAAACATTAGATCAGGGCTGGTTCAAGTGATAGGCCAGCCAAGCAAGTAAACTTGAGCAAGTCCCAGCTCTAAGTTCAAATCCTAGTACCAGGGAGGAAAAAAAGCTGTATCAAACTTCACGAGAACATTGTTGGCTAAATCCATCTGCCAAGCTGTATTAGGTCACTGGGCTGATATAACATACAGTAGACCATTTAAGTGTTTAATCTGGAAGCTATAATTGTCCTGATTTTCATTCAGTAGAAAGGACACCCCAATCTGGAAGCTATAATTGTCCTGATTTTCATTCAGTAGAAAGGACACCCCCAAATGCTATTCTTGTCCACCTCCTCTGTCAATCATCCACTTACCAGGCATTTAGAACCTCCTGTGGCAGGATCCTGTCTTTCCCCAATCTGGAGGACTGTGGCCAGGTTGGAATCCTTGGAGTGAGGGGAAGTACATGCAGGACCACAACTAGTGCATTTCATGAAGTCCTTGGACCACTGCCTCCATCACTGCGAGCAGGTAGGTGAGGGTGGGAGGTGCTTTAGTTAACATGCTGATTCCAGGCTTACCTTCATCAGCTAAGTCTGATCTCTGGGAGGTAAAGGGCAGACTCCACATGCCAGGGCAGACTTGGTGTGGAGACATGGTTGAAGAGCATAGGTTATAGTCAGGCACTCATTCTAAGCCAAGGAGCAGCTGTAGGAAGTGTGGCAGGCCTAGGAGATGACATGGGTGGACATTGGAAGACACCAGTCAAGGCAGAAGGGAACCAGGTCAGCCATAGGGAAGAGTAGGGAAGGAAAGAACTGGTGTCCAGAGGTCCAGTGGTTGATGGGGGCCCCAGCCCTGCTTTGGGATCGTGAGTTCCCAGGAGAGCTCTGTGCAAAAAGGATTCAGATGTGCACCCAAGAACAGTGCCCAGGGATGCTGTGCTGTGGCAGGGCAGCTGGAGCTGGGCTGATTCCTAGGTGTTGGGTCTTGGAAGGCTTGGTTGGAAAGAGCAGAGCAGCAGAGGTCAGAAAAACCTGAACACGTCTTCTGGCTATAAAACTTTCCCAGTCACCAAAATGAGGCATCTGTGTGGTCAGCTTCCTCAGCCACTAGATCAGGCTAGAGACCTTGTGACTGGCTGGCAGCTGCAGCCCCAGGCAGTTCCGGGGTGCTAGGCTGGTGCTTGGGAGGGGGAGGAGGCAGCTCTTGGCAGAGACAGGTACAAGGGCTCCCATCAGTTTCAAGTGGCCCACCCAGCACATGTGATCTAGGCATTGTAGTACTAACCTGGCCTCAGGGAATCCTTGGTAGCCAAGTTTAGGCAAAGCAGCAGTGGGAACAGGAGTGTCTTTGTCTGCCCACTTCCAGACTGCCAAGCCTTGCTAGAACTCATGTTCTCTGTAGGCAGAAAAACTCAAGGGTCAGAGCCTTCCCTCCATCCCCATTCTCCTCTCCCTAGCTATTCTCAGGCTCCTCCAGCAGAGACCATGTGCTTGTCTTTAAAAAATAATGTTTATAGCAGTACATCATGAAATGCTCCTTCATCTCTGGGTAAAAATCCACAGATCTAACCCTGAAGGGTAGTCAGCTGAGCAGAGCCCCTGGAAAGTATGATTTAAGAGCACCATGCAGGAGCCAATGTAACCAAAAGCACACAAGGTTATTAGATAAGAATCTCCTTAAAATTTAATTGACTAAATGTATTACATTCAGTTTTCCATAAGTTTTTCTGGACAAAGGATCTGCATAAATACAAACTTGTAGAGTTTCTTCCCTAGTGACAGAGATCAAACACAGGAGGCGAGGGGCACAGGCACACCTTCCTATTTACATCTCGCCTGTACTTTACACTTCAGTGCCAGAAATATTTACAGAAATACAATAAGAAAAACATCATGTCTTGGCAACATACTGAAATTCATACAAATTGTAAATATGGTTTCAAGCAAATTATGATACTGCTTATTTTTCAGCCACAACTGCCAAGCCCTTCAGAGGAGAAAGAAGTCTTGGTCACTGCGGGAGATGAGAACTTGGGAAACTTCATCTGCTTCAACAAATAGTTATTGGGCGCCTACTAGATGCAAGGCACTGCGGAATCCCAAATATAGCTTTTCCCTCACTACTAAAACAACAAAGGCTTGTAGCTCAGTTGAAGAGCACGCGCTTAACAGGTATGAGGCCCTAGATTCAACCTCCAGCCCTGAAAAAACCAACAAACATCAACAACAAAAAACCCCAACAAATCATAAAACTGTGAACAAGGGTTAATACTTTTGAGAAAACCTTACCCATTGTGTGGATTTGTCTGGCTCCATATTGTTCAGGTGGATCCTCCATTTACTTCAGGTAGAGGTTCTGGGGGCAATGCTCACTCCCAGAACTGTTTCAGGTAAACATGAGCCTCCACATTTCCAGGGAGATCCCACCTGCTGGACCTTGAGTGCTTACGGAACACTGGCCAGCAGGAGCCCCAAATGTACTCCACATGTCTCCACTACCTACCGCTTAACACTGTGCAAGGTAAAGCTGCACTTCTCAAAGAAATCTGTCTGGCAGAGCAGGACACTTTCCCAGTACATGCAGGAAGGAACCATTCATGAAGGCCCATGTAACCTATGGGCTACTGATGTTACAACCAAAGGTTGTATTTTGTATTTGTAACTGAGTCCGGAAAATGGGCTGTACTGAGATACAGCGCCCAGAATAGGAGGAAAATGTTCACTGCATCTGTGTGGAAGGCTGTCCCACCACGTAATTATTCCCTTCAAAGGACAGTGTTAGCGGGAAGCCCTGGCTGATGGGGTAAGGGTTGACATTGAGAGGGGCAGGAAGGAGAAAAGAGGGGTGGGGGAGAGAAGAGAGAAGAGAGAGAGAAAGGGAGAGAGGAAAGAGAGGGAGAGAGGAGGGGGTAGCCCCCTGCTTTCAGGGCTCCCTTTAACTCCAGAAGGAAGCAGGAGGAGTGACCTGCTTGCCTCTTGGGTAATGCTTTTCTCTTTCTAGAAGGCCATACTCAACTCACCCATCCCAGGTACCTGGCACATGGAGCAACTGCGCAGCCTAATCCAGGCCCAGAAGGTTCCAAACATATGCTGGTAAATTTACCAAGTGGACCAGTAAACATTACTGTTAGGTACTAAATAAGTTCCACTGACATTGCTATACTCAGGGTGTACTTCATGACCACCAACTCCGGCCTGTACCAGTGTATGGGCTGATGGAATTCTGAAAGGAACCAGCACCTGATGAGGTCCCACATGCACCATATTCTGCCAGCTCTGTACACACTAGGGGCTTCATGCCTTGCAGGTTGTACATCCTTCCTCCCCTGGGCAATTGTCAAGTCTCTCAGATCCCAACCTGCATCAGCATAGTGTCCACCTACCAAAGTTTTTGGAAGTAAAGAACTGACAGAAACTGAAGCCAACAGAAAGACCAATAGACCCATCCCCAACCATAGACACAGAAACATAGACACATACATACCTGGTATTCAATCTATGCCCCAACTAAAAGACTTGTCCAAAGAAAAACATCTATATCAGCTTTGTTGTTATTGTTACTGGTTGTAGGGCTTGAACTCAGGGCCTGGGTACTGTCCCTAAGCTTTTTTGCTCAAGACAAATGCTCTACCACTTTCAGCCAAAGCTCCATTTCCAGTCTTCTGGTGGCTAACTGGCGGTAAGAATCTCCGACTTTCCTGCCTGGCTGGCTTCAAACAGCTATCCTCAGATTTAAGGCTCCTAGGATTACAGGTACGAACTACCAGCGCCAGGCATATATCAGTTTTTTTTTTTTTAACATGTGGAATGTTATAACATTGCACATTCAATTTATAGCCTTCACATCAACTAGAATAAGCGCTTCTTCCCTTAAAGTGTCAACTTGGAATTTTTCTTGAAAGCTGTTAAACTTCAACTATTCTTGCTGAATTCTTAAAACACTTTTAGGGTAAAACTCACATTCACATTCCCCTGCTGCCATCTGAAGACACACTTATTGCTCAGCTCAAAAAGCAATCAGTGGTTGAATACTATCATGCCTTATATGGAGACTAGGTCACAGGAAGAAGAGGAAAAAGAGGTATCTGTACCTGAGCTGAAAACAAACATGAAGAAGAGGATGGCAGACTTAAGACTAAGAGCTGGTATACCCATGTTACTTGCTGAAAGATTCCTAAGCAGGGAAGGAAGCCCTACACTGCCCTCAACCCTCTAAAGAAACTACTGGAACAACAAAATAGTAAGAGCAGCGTGACACTGCTCTACAGACATGCTGACACCTGAGAGCTATGGGAAATACCTGCATCCTCTGATCACCCCTTTGTGGACTTGAAATATCACTTTTTTTTTTTTTTTAAGAAGAAAGCAATCTCAGCAAGAAACACACACAAATGAGAGAAGTGGAGGACACAGAGCACTGTCACAGAAACCCTCATAAGGAAGGTCTGAGTCTAACCAACTCCCAAGTTTGTCCTTAGCAGAAATTTAGCAGCAAAGTTACACAAGTATTCCCAAAGACCTGGTAGGGATTTGTCATGCCTTCAGCTGACTAAGGACACAAAGCACGACAATAGCCCCCTTCTCAAGTGGCGTGCCGCCTGTCAAATGATACACTCCAGGAGCTCTCTGGAAGAAATTAGATTAGCAGCATTAAGAGGCTACTTCCTGAACCACAAATTCAAATCCCTTATCAACTATGGCAGTTTGCTGCTTGGTCCTGAAATAAGAAAGAATGGATGAAATCAAGTACTTTTCAACCTCTCTGTTGTGACTTTCCATTTCATGCTATTTAATCAAGGTATGACAAATGATTAACTTGCCTTGACATCACCACACTGGACAATAATGAGGAGTGGAGGCATCACTGTTGACTCAAGAGCTTTTAACCCTACAAATTCTATTGGTGCTCCACTAGAGGACAAGGATGTGCCTCCGCTTCATGTCTGTTCCCCTAGAAGCTGAGGCCACCAGACTTATCTGTGCAGTGACAAGAATGATGACTTTTTTGATTGTGGAGAAAAAATACAAAATATTTTAATGTCAGATTTTTTTATCTAAGGAAGAAAAAAAAACCCTAAGCAAACGTATATTGTACTCTTTTTGTCATTTTGACAGTTGGATGACAAACAGACCTACAAGTAAACAGAACGTTGCAACTCCTTTCCTTCTCCTCCATGCTGCCAACTGGAACCTTTAAATGTCCTGGGAGAATCTGACACAGACTTTAAGTTTGAAGACAATCTCCTAAAAAGTGAGTATAAAACTATCTTCAACTTCTAATATGCAAATCTGTTGATACTACCAATGCATGTGTTTACAATTGAGGTGCATAAAAGCCTTTCTCCTCAAAAGGCTTACATTGAACTAAAATTGTCATTTTTAAAAGGAAGTTTATGGCTAAAATGTTTATCATCATTACCAACTGGAATATGATTGTGTCTGCGAGCCCACTGCATTAGGAAGTCCAAAGTCTTCTATCCAATGGGTTTACAATGTGTTTCTTCTATCCTGTGATTAAACAGTAAGCTCTTGGGAGTGATTTGCTTTTATTTTTACAGTGATCACTATCAAACTGACTTGCTTTGATAGTACAGCCCCCAAACTGGAGTTCAAGTCCCACACCGACAGTGGCTTAAGCACTGCAGCTCTTGAGTCCAACCTCTTGGAAAAGTGACGTATAAAATTCTGGTTCCAACTGCTTGTTCCGGTACTTGTTGACAATGTCGGTGATTTTCTGTTTCCGGCGGACATGTGGCGGACTGTAGGAGTCACTTTCTAGTCTCTTTCTTCTACAAATGTTGATTACAGTCTGCCTCACCAGAAAACCTTGAAAACAGGTTAAAACAACTGTCAATAAATAGTAAGATGCACTCTCATTATTCAGATGATGTACTCTCATTCAGATGAATCATTTTCTGAATACTTAATCTATTTCACCCCAGTTGGATAACATCTTGTCCTCAAAGAGATAATAATCCTTAAGTAATAAGAAAAACTGTTAGAAGATACAATGACATAGGAAAAACAAAACCAAAATGGGTCTGCTAACCCATGTTCTCTCCTGGATTACCAATAGCCACCTTTCTTTTCTAATCCTGCAAACTTGTAAAGTGTCACTTGTGTTTACTAGATTAAAGGCTAGGGGGACTTATCCAATGAAGACAGCATGAATAAGGCCCTGTGCCATCCCTAGCCCAGGGGGAAAAAGTTTAAAACAGATCAAAACATGCTCCCCCTTTCACAACAGCACTTTGTAGACATGGGACTTATCAAAAATCAGCATCTTTTCTTACTTTGATTTCTTTTTGAGTTACAGCGTTAAGGAAGGAAAGAAGAACTTACCCAGTGCTCTCCTGCTAACTATCATTCCATCCACAAGAGGAATGACCATGTTAAATTTTCCTGTGGCTCCTTGGATTTTTATCCGGAACAATCCAGTGTTTAAAGGGTGAATGAATATGACAGGAACTTCTTTTTCAAGAGTTGTAGATCTTAAGAAAAGAAAGGTCTTTTTTTAGCCCGGACACACTTTAGTTGAAGTCCTTCATACACTGCATAACAATACCATAGTAACCTCTCTCTGCCAGTAGTGGTTTAAAAAGGGCCAAATGGGTCTGTAACTCTTGGCTTTCAGTGCTCATTACTGTAATCAGGATATTTAAGTTAATAAAAAGAGTCTGAAAAAAAAAACCGCTAAGCAAACCCCTGAGGAGACAGAGTAGAAAGGCCAGGTAAATCTACTGTGGGGCCTTAGCGTCCAGCAGCCAACTATGGAACATTCATTTTAGTCTCCCCCGCTTTTTTTTCTGGTTAAGGGGCTTGAACTCAGGGCCTGGGCACTGCCCTGAGCTATTTTTGCTCAAGGCTAGCACTTTGAGCCACAGCTCCATTTCAGGTAGTCTGGTAGGTAATTAGAGAAAGAGTCTCACAGACTTTCCTGCCTGGGCTGACTGTGAACCAGCACCTAGCTATCCTCTCCTTATCCTTTGATATAGGGACAGTGTGGCTGGCAGAGTGCAGCTGAAGCTGTATTCGGAGCAGTAGCAGAAACTATGTTAAGTCCAGTGTGGGAATCCCAAACACGTACGTGTGTGTGTGTGTGTTTGGTGGTTAGCTGCAGATAAGTCTCACTGATTTTCCTGCCCAGGCTGGCTTTGAAACACAATCTTCAAATCTCAGCTTCCTGAGTAGTTAGGATTATAGGCATGAGCCACTGGTACCTGAGCTCTTCAGATCAAGGCGAGCACTCTACCCCTTGAGCCACAGCGCCATTTCCCTGAGTTAACTATTTAAGAAAATAAAAAATAAGGGCTGGAGATGTGGCTCAACTGAACAAGCATGAGGCCTCAAGTTCAAACCCCAATACTGATAAAAAAAAAAGTATTTGATCATTAAGATACTACTTTCAGGAAAGTGGGTACTTGTGGGTCATATCTGTATTTATAGATACTCATGCTAACATCTGAGGATTACAGTTTTAAGACAGTCTAGGCAGGAATATCTGTGAGATTCTTATCTCTAGTAAACAAGCAAAAAAGTCAGAAGTGGAGCAGGGGCTCAAATGGTAGAACACTAGCTTTGAGCAAAACAAGTTCAGAGACAACACCCAAGGCCTGAGTTCAAGTCCCAGGACCTGCCCCCCCCACCAAAAGAAATCTCAAAAAGACATCGATAACTTATGTTGAATGCAGCACTATTCACAATAATAAAGACATGGAAGCACCTACAGGCCCACAACAGACGACCAGATAAAGAAGCTATGATATACACATACAGTAGAATATTTATTCAGTCTCAAAAAGGAAGACAATCCTAACATTTATGAGAACATGGATAGTTCTGAGGGTCTTGCTGGGTAGCTGAGGCAGGCTTTGAACTTACAATCCTAACTCCACACCCAGCAACAAAGTTTTGTTTTTAAAATCATGGTAAATTTGATAACTTTGTGCATAATTTTTATAAATGTACATTTGTACATTTATGTACAAATATATCTGGTTCTTTTATTTTTTTGTGCCTTCAACTTTTTTGTTTCATTGCAATTTGTTATTAAGCTTCAATGTATAAAAAATAGATATGCTCATTAACTCAAAAAAATGAAAGAATGTACCTCAGAGAAGTGCTACTATTTGCAGTAGTTTCCACACCAGTACTGATTTCTGTCATCAGATCTGAGAGGGGAAAGTTTTCTGAAGGAAAAAAAAATAGCATCATACAGTTAATATCTCCCTAATTTTTCCAAAGTAAATAAGAGGAAATTGAATTTAATAATCTCTTTACACACAGATTATAGTAAAACATGTAATCCTAATCATTCCCCAAAGAAAATTCTCCATGAAGACATTTTAGCTAAGTTCATCTAAAGCAGAGTTTTGGAAAAGCATGATCTGTGCTGAGTGAGAGCTTAGTGAAAGCAACTCCTATGCTTTTCCACAAACTGAGCTGGATGAGATTCTAGGCTAAGCATGAATTTGTGGGTGTGGGTATGTGTTAGTTCTTTCCACTCAAGGCTGGAACTCTCTACCACCTGAGCCACACCTCCATTTCCTGCATTTTACTGGTTAATTGGAGATAAGTGTCTTTTTTGGATTTGTGTCTCAGGCTGGCTTCAAACTTCAATCCTCAGATCTCAGAATCCTGAGTAGCTGGGAATATAGGCGTTAAGTTAGCCGGTACCTTTCTAATAGTCTTATGCAGCTTACAACAAGAGCTAGGCTTACGCCTGTAATCCTAGCTATTCAGAAAGCTGAGAATGAGAATCCTGGTTTGAAGCCAGCCGTGGCAGACAAACTCAAGAGATTATCTCCACTGAACCACCAAAAAAGTCCAAAATAGAGGTGTAGCACAAGTGGTAGAGCCATGAGTAAAAAAGCTGAGAGAGCTTGAGGCTCTGAGTGTAAGCCCTAGTTCTGGCACTAAATAAATACATAAATACAAAAAAAATCATAAGAAACTTCCCTAGGGGGTGATATTGATTGTAAAACATGTATGCAAGTGTAACAAGGAATCCTACCTTCTGTGTAACTAATGTAAACTAATATAAAAACAGAAAAGAAAAGCTTCTCTGAGGCATAACTCTTTTTTTTTTTTTGTCGGTCATGGGGCTTGAACTCTGGGCCTGAATGCTGTCCCTTAGCTCTTCAGCTCAAGGCTAGCGCTCTATGACTTGAGCCTCTGTGCTGCTTTGTTTTCTGAGTGGTTTGTTGGAGATGAGTCTCACAGACTTTCCTTCCCGGGCTGGCTTTGAACCATGATCCTCAATTCATACCACCAAGTAGGGGAGCTGGGAAATAAACTGAAGCTTGCTGCACTTCAGTTCTCATTTGTGGTCACCTCCCCTTACTCTGCACTAACTCCTTTCAGACCCTTGGCAGTTGCTGCAATGCTACTATCATTTATGGACAATATCTGTATATGTACCTATGTCATCATAGCGTTCCACCCAGACCACAGACACTCTTGTCTCAGGTCCAAGGGGAGGCACAAGTCGACCCTGAGGCAGCTTCTTCATTCTGGAACTGGGACTGAGCTATTTGAAGAGAGGAGAAAGTGCAAATGTTGATAAAACTGCTCAGCTACACATTTATCAAGATGCTTAGTGATATAAGTATCAAGTCATGAAAATCACCTCAGGAAAAAAGTGTGAAATACATTTACCAAAAAACTCATCTTTGGTTTCTCTGCTTATCAGTCTTAATCTAGAAAGAAGAAATAAAGGCCTAAAACTGTCAAAAGAGGTAAGAAATATTGAACAATAAAATTGGTAAATTTTTTTTTCTATTTTTGTTGGTTGTGGGGCTTGAACTTGGTGCCTAGGCGCTGTCCTTGAACTTTCCTGCTCAAGGCTAGCACCATTTCTGGTTTTCTGATGGTTAATTGGAGATAACAGTACCATAAATTTTCCTGGCTGGGCTGGCTTTGAACCACCATCCTCATATTACAGGTGTGAGTCACCAGCCTCTGGCTTGTCTATGTTTTGTTTGTTTCTTGCCAGGCCTGGGGCTTAAAATCAAGGCCTGGGCACTGTCCCTGAGCTTCTTTTACTCAAAGCTAGTACACTACTACTTGTGCTACAGTGCCACTTCTGACTTTTTCTGTTTATGTGGTACTGAAGAATTCTATCCCAGACTTCATGCATGCTAGGCAAGCACTCTACCACTAAGTCACATTCCTAGCCCCTTGTCTGGAATGCTTTAAAGGGATCTGAGTCTGTCTCTATTATGAACAGAAAGCAGTATGTTTTCTCAACCAAAGCAGTATCACTAGAGGATCCTAATCTCTTAAAATGTCCTGTCAATAAGCTATCCTTTTCACAGACCAAATGTTTCCTATTGCAGTCTAAGTCCAAGTCTCTCTTCTTGTTAGCAGAAAGGACTCTTAAGAGCCTTCACTAATAAGCTGATAGTGTTTCTGGCTTCCCTGCCACCCCATTAGTGTAAGTCTCTTAGTAGAGCTGACAGGATTATGGTGCTTCCTTTAGTAAGCTGATACTCCAAGCTACATAACACACACACACACACACACACGCGCGCGCGCGCGCACACACACACACACACACCACACAATTGCCTTAAAATTTTTTCCTTAATACTTAGGTTTGAACTCAGGGCCTTGTGCTTGTTAGGCAAGTACTCTACCAGTTGAGACATCTCTGCAGCCTTTTTGCTTTTGCTATTTTTCGAATAGGGTTTCACTTTTTGTCCAGGCTGGCCAGGACCATGATCTATCTTTCTTTTCTTTTCTTTCTTTCTTTCCTTCCTTCCT